AGTCATGTAGTACTTCCAGACCTAAAATTACGTTCAGTTTTTGCCGTTAATGTTGAATGCATGTGTTATTACATGTATTGCATCTGAATTCCAGCTGTTGACTAATACGGCTTTTCTACAGTTGGTTCTGGAAGGCAACCGATAGTAGAGAGAAATTCAGTTTTAACTTTGTCTTCTGAGATGAAGGAACTCTATGCATATGGCTCACCATTCGAGCAGATTGGTACTATTCCTCTTTTGCTTTGTATTTGCTGTGATAGGAGGTACAAATTACATTTTGAAGGGCAAAATTTCAGAAGAGTGAATACACTTTGGTTATAAAGGACCCAGTTCTGCCACCTCTCCCATGACTAATAGGGGACTCATGCCATTGACATTTTTCATTTTAGAATCTATCTCATTCCAGAGATTTTCTTTGCTTCTGTCAGGTAATTGCATGTGTAACAGCTGTTCTAAATTGCTTTGTTAAATGATTGTTTCTACAGTTGAGTTATTGAAGTAATAAATCACCATTTTTTTCCTTATTCCAGTTTAATACCATCTGACTGCCTTATCACCCAGCAGTTTGATAGAAAACAAAGAAAATTAGTTTTCAGGAAAATTAATTTCTCAGTATATTACTGTATGGGTTTTTTCATATGATGTTCTCGCTGAATGGCAATTTGGTTTAGGGGTGTACTTGGTAGAGTAGGGTTAATGGTTTGCCTCGATGATCTCAAAGGTCTTTTCCAACCTGAATAATTTTATGATTGTATGAATTATATCCTAAAATTACGTTTTTTTTAATTAAAAGAAAAAAAATAAAAATTCAGATTAAAAAAAATACTCAGGTTTTGTAATACAGCTCCTATATTTACTGTGTTCCTTTAGGTTTTGGGGCATACTCTCAGATTTAGAGAACACGCATTTTCAGAAAAGTGGTGCACTTAAATGTTCGTTGTGTCTTCTCAAGACTCTGCAAGAGAAAAGGATGCCGTGTAGTAGTGCTGAGTGTGATTTGCTTTTATTTCATTTTTCCTAATTAATCTTAAATATTACTTGCTGGTAGTCTTCATTTTGATAAAATTTGAGAGACAATCACTTTTACCAGTGTCTTTTCCCTTGTCTTCAGTCACTCACCAATCCCTGCCAGTTACTTACCTCAGCAGTCACTCACAAACTGGTGGTGGAGAGGGACATAGGAAAGATGTAGACACGTGGGAACAGAGTTTCCTGGGTTGAGTATGCTAACGGTGGTTAAAGGGAAGGAGAAGGCTCAGCGACCTAAGGCACCGAGGTTTAATAACTGTTTTTCATGTCGTCTGAGCTCACTGGCATGAAAGTGGTGAGTATTCTTGGTTGTTTGGGAATACAATTGGGGTTTTGAAGAGGATGGCAGGTACCCTCTTTTCACAAGGAATTTTGTATGTAGAAGGCTATGAAATAAACAAGGTATCTATATATTTTCTGTGGGAGAGGAGCTTTATTTAGACAATCTTCCTATGCTTTGTCAAACTTCAGCTCCTTTGTGGAGGCAGGCTTGTCAGAGGGAGGCAGTTCCTTTCTGCGCCATCCCTAGCACAGCCGGGAGCTGCTACAACTACAGTTGGTAGAAACTAAAACGTAGAATGGAAATACTGAAATACAATGCTCAGATAATAATATTGATAACTTTCACAATCATGTAGTCAGCAAAGTATTCTGTAAATTACACTTATTTGCAAAGATTACAGCTTGGGCAGCTTACTTTCATCAGCTAAAGTCTAAAAGCTTTAATTCCGTTAAAGAGAGGTAAAGATGTGTTGAATGATCGGATGGCGTGTTGGATGTCCAAAAAAGGCACCGGGGATCCCTTTACAGGGCCATGGTTAAGGGTTTTACAAGAATGGCACTGCCAATCATTAAGCTGTCGTTTTGCTTGAGGGAGACTGTTACTGCATGATTGGATTTGGCTAACTGTTGTCAGTGCTCGATAGAAGACAGCAATGCAAACCATGACTTCTGTCTGCTTAGATGTCAGCTTTGCTGGCTTGTTACATTTTTGGCTGAAGATGTCTGCTCTTTATTGAACTTTACATAATACATAAAAATTCTGTATCACTGCATTTGAAACATTCTAGTTGTATCTTCACCTTCAAAAAGATTGCAGTGGGAACAGTACTCTAACTGTTGTATGCTTGGGCTGGACAAGGAGCTGTGGAAGAGGGCCATTGTTCCCGTGGACACTAATCCCTGCCCTACATAACCAATGTAATGCTGAATAGCAAATTGAGTTCAGCTTCCTGTGCGTGGTAAGGGCAAATCTCACACCGCCACAAAGAAGTCGTGACTGTTGTGAGTGTTCAGTCAGTGACACTGCTGTAAAGTCAACGTACTTTGTTGTTTCACAATAGTTAGCAGTGAATAAAATTTAAAGTAATTGGTTTGACACTGTCTGGAGAGGTTTTCTAGAATTACTGGTAGAGAAGGAAAAATAACTAAAAATTAAAAGCATTACTTGTTTTTACTCTGTGCTTTGGAGTGTGGGGGAAGGAATTGGGGCAGGGGGGAATGCAATCCTTTTTATCTCTCTATCCATGTAGCATGAAATGGGTTTGCTTTATTCCTTATTTTTTATAGATGTGAGATAAGTATATCTGAAAATGAGGCGGGTTTTTTGGCTTTTCTCCAATAAAAATAGTTTTGTTTTTATGATGTTGCTTCTGTCCTTAGCTCATAGCAGGATGAAAAAGGTAGTAGTTCTGCGGGACAGGATCTCAGATTATGTTGGAAGAAAGATAAATCAATGATGTACTGTTGCAAAAACACTCAGTCATTGCTGCAGGATGTGTGAGGATGAGCATAGCTTGTAATGACAAGAAATAATCCTTATGCTATAGTCAGCATTTGCAAGGCCTTGGTTGTGCCTAGTTTAGGATTCTGCATTTGAGGAAAAATGTGGACCAACTTGAGGTGAACCAAATTAAATTAATGTAAATGATCAGAGACCTAGGAAACTGGTCTCAGTGGAGGATTGGAGGAAGTGGGAGTTAGTATGTCATGCAGTAGAGGAGGAAAAGACTTCAAGCATGATAGAGTTTAAAGGTGTAAACATCTGCTCTGTAATAGCCTGTTCTCAAGAGCTATGGAAGAAAAGGAGCAATGTTTTCATCTGTGCGGTGGACATACAGAGGACACGGATAGTAAAGATAAACCTTGGAATAGTGGGACGAAGCTCTGGCATCTTTAGGAACAGATCAAAGAAGCATCTGCCATGACTGATAGAGGCATGGTTGAGTCTATCCTCAGGCATGCAAGTTGTATGAGGGTCTTAAAGACGCGTTGGATCCTAACTTACAGCTCTAATGTAAATTTTGTTATTTAGCATGAATGGTATTAAGTTATACATTCGGATTAGCTAAATCTTTTGATTCTAAATGTCTGTAGTAAGCAATGAATCAAGTTTCTTATTGCTAGGAAATTTACCATTTTTGCTCTGCCTTGGTGTTGTTTACCTAGGTTTACCTATGGAAAATGTAACATGCAGAATCTCAGTCTCTTTTTGTGCCACTGTAACTAATTGAATCTCTAGGGATTTGTTTGCCTGTTTACTTCCATTTGGGTGCTCTAAGTGGGTCTATATGACTTTGCATTTGAATGAGTCCTCTGTATCACCTTCTGTATGTAAGTTAGTGATTGGCCTTTCCAGTATTTAGCTGTTGATGCTGTTGATTCATTATTCCCGTGGCTGAGGGGCTGGCCAAGAAGACAGAAAACTATTGACCAGATCAGCAAGAGCAAATCTGGCTCTGTGTAAGCTATTAAATGACTAGAACTTGTTGACCCATTTAATGTCTGCCTGGTTCCCATGGCTGGCATTTCCATCTTGAGGAGCTTGCAGTTATAGTGGCAGGAGTCTGCACCTTTCTATCCTTTTTTCAGTACTGTTGGAAAAAACAAAGCAAGTAATACAATGATTTTTATAGCATGGAAATGATTTCATGCACTGGCAGTGACTGAAATACTCTTTTAAACTTAGATCCTACAGAATGTTCTTTACACAGTGACTGTTTTTACTCATGGTATATTAACAATTTTGATCTTGTTTTGCATCAGTTCTCTGTGATGCTTTTTCTCAAATACTTTTACTGGCTGTTCAGAATACTAACTGAGCCGCATAATTATCACAAGTATAACTGTTATGCAATTGCTGTAGAAGGACTGTAGTAGTTTTGAAATGTCACCAGCATGCTAAATCAGTGTTCCTTTTCACTGGCTGTTGGAAAAGGAAATAAAAAACAGTGGTTGGAAGAGATGGATGCTTTTTTTTAAAATTATAACTTTTGAATTAAAATTAAAACATTTTTATAGCAATGTTTCTTTTATTTTATCCTACTTAGTAAACAGAAATACTTTATGTTCTGTTTGAAATGTTTGAGGGTTTTTTAAAAACAATGTGGCCATGTGCACTGACTGCATCAGCACAAGGTGAACTGCTTGGGTATAGTCATTGCTTTTCTCTCATGTCTGAAAATGTTTCAGATGCATAGAGTATCTGTTACAGGATAACATTCTCTATTTCATACTAGAGTTTCCATTTAATTTTTTGACACACAGCCTTAAATTGCAGATTTCAGCTACTGTGAAAGCGATGAAATTTCCGTTTTTGTTTTTTTTTTTTTTTAATCAGAAGTCTGTTTCATAGTATCTTTCTTGTGCTAGTGTAGCTTGGAGCCCACTGTGAAAGCAGCAATTTGTCTTTTCTTTCAGGGAACTGGAAAATTTTGAGTGTGAATATTTCTGATGAAATCTCTAATACCAAATGTATTCTGAGAAGTGGGGAAGGGAAAAGGTGGTTGTTTCTGTAACTGTTCCATTTGCAGACTGGTTTAAAAAAATCATTACAGCTGAGTGAATTCTACATAGTTGAAACCATGTACATTGGTAGCAGTTGAAAATGTTTATTCAAATTGCTAAAAATATTTCCTGTCCTTTGTGTCCCTGAGATAAGAGATGATATTCTGATGCATGTCTTTTCACAGGACCTGTTGTTCAGTGTGTGCGCTCTCAATATCGTCTCCACCATTGTCTGTGCTTTGGCAACAGCAATGTGTTGCATGCAGATGGTTTCTTCTGATCTCCTGCAAATGGTGAGTACATGTCACTGGCACCACAGGATGTTATCCAACATAGCCTATTGTCCTTATCTGTGTGTACTCATTTGTACCTACTGTTTGCTTATAAACTTAAGCCTATCTGTGTGCCTTTGTGTAGTATTAGAATGTGTGTGTACATGGATGTCTGTTTTTTTTTTGTCTGCATGCATCTATATAAATATAGCATAATACAGATGTATGCAGTGTGAATAGCTGTGTTTAAAAATGTTTACATATTATACTAGAGAGTTATAATCAGGATTTTGCAATTGGGAGTATATTATTTTTGTTAAAGATGTTATTAATGAGGTTCAGTTATATATGCACGTTAAATTTTCTCATTACATATTTATTATCTTCAGTTTCTATACTATCCAGAGCAATTACTTAGCTTTGAGAAACTATTTTTCACTACTTTTCTGGTCTGAGAACTTTGGAGTATGAGAACTATTAGTTCAAAACTGGAACTTTTCGGAGTCCTGTGCCAGTAAGTGTCTTCCTAAGGAAAGCATGTTCAGCTTCAGGGTAGCACTTGTGTTTAAAACAAGAGGGAGAAGGATCATTAGTATTCTGCATAGCGAGCTGCATTACAGGTTACTCTCTTGTTTTGGTTGGACAAAGACAGCTTTCCTATCCCAAATGAGTGCTGTGATTCTCAAGGTTTCAAGGTAATGTTGAAACAACAACAACAACAAAAAAGTCCTTTGTATTTTGCAGGGCAGGTATACCATTTCTAACCCATCTCTGTTGGTGGCTAATCTAGGAAATTATCCTCTATTTAATAAGAGAGGGCAAGGGCACAAACCTAATACCAGTCATTTGTAAATCTCTCTTACTTTAAAAGTTTGCATGGGTAGAATATTGGCCCAGGAATTTAGCTGCAAACCATTTACACAACAGAGAAATGTTGCATAACCTGCCAAGCACGCTGGTGGTTGTTTTAAAATTAAATAAATAAAAATACACTTAGCTGCATGGATATTGATTTGAGCTTAAGTGCATGAATTACAGAGATAAGGCTGTCCTTTCTAGACAAGCGTTCTAGTCGCTGGGTTACAAACTTAGTTAAAGAGTATCTTCAATCTGTGATCTAGTGTTTACTTTGCATAGTAGTGGAGAGATGAAGTTAGGCACATATGTCTACATAATGCCTACAAATAGTACATGAATGCATTTGTTCATGCAGCACTCTGTGTTCGTATTGTGCGTGCTTGTAGAGGCTTGTAAATTGCTTATTTGATAGCTTTGGTTTGGGTATCTGGCAGGATTGACAAAAAAATCATCATTTCAGCTGATGATATGTTGTATTTTAAATGTTAAGGGATGTTTATCGTATTGTGGGTATTCTTTATTTCCATACACACCACACACACCCTGCCCGCACCTCCCATGATATTTGCGGCAAGAACACTCATTCACTAAAGGTCTTTTTCACCTTCCAGTGATGACAGGGAGATGAAGTGATCATCACACCTGGAAAGATCTGTCTGTCTAGTGTAACAATGGTGGCAGTGATCCGGAAGTGTAACCGTATATATTCCAGGAATCTTAACCTAATTTCGTGCTATTTAGCAGTGTAAGAGGAATAAAAAAGTATGGATAACAATGAACCAAGGACGATATTAAAGTGTTTCTGATGGGCATGTGCAAGAAGCAGTAATCTCAATAGGAAGTCAAATACCTTAAAAGCACATAATTTTTCTATCTGCCACTTCATTCTTCACTTCTTCCCCAAAATTCTTTCTTTTCCACCTGGCGATGCTGCCGTTATGTCGATTTCTTTTTGCTTCCTACACTTTGTGCTTCCCGCTTTCCGTCTCCCTGCTTCGTTGTCCATTCTCCCATCCTTTCAGCTCCATTGACAAGAATTGCCTTCCCTCTCCACAGAAGAAGAGAATTATATCTTTCTTTCTACTCAATCCCAGTCTTTTCTTGTTTATCCTTAAGTTTTTTCCTTTCTTTTTTTCAGGTTGCTGAGCCAGATTCCTACCAGGCCTAAGTGAGCGTAACTTCCCTGGGGCTACGCTGACTTAGACCAGCTGAACTCTGACCTGAAGACTTTTTTTTTCTTTCACTATTTTCAGTCTATTGTCCCATGATCTGCAGTTCACTTTTGCTCTACTGCAACCAGAAATCTGATTTACTTCCTTTTTTCTTGCTTGTTAATGCTTAATGTGTGCTTTTTCCTTTTCCTTTTCACTGAGGTATGCGTCTTATCTTAGCAGGGTTGTACCATGCTGGAAGTTTACAATAGCAGCTCCAAGAGATACCACCCCTCTTGCATGGAAAAGTTTTAATTGTTGTGCTGATTCTTTTACTCTGTTCTTACAGTATTCAAGAGCTACGTAGGCTCTCCTGTCAGAAGAGGAGGCATAAAAATATAATTCTTAGCCAGCAAAAGCATTATGCAATAGGGAACATGTTCCTCTGACATCATTAGGTTATCATTAGGTCATCAGTTTTGTGATTCATGTGCTGTGTTAGTGTTCTTGTCTCAGAAATTACTTGGGTAGAATGGGGTGCAAATTTCAAAGAATGTCAAGTTTTCTTCTGGCATGAAGCTGTTCTTTGTGCTTCAGGTTTTATTGCCTGGTGACATAGAACTGGCATATAAAGTCTCAAGAAAATCTGCAACAGTGTTCCATGAGTATCTGCTTTCTTGCTAACTTTTGCATACAGTGAGCATCTGATTCATATAAGTACTGGCAGTATTTTACTGGAAACTGCTACCTTCTGATGTCCCGATCTTGTAGTAAAAATGCCCTGAAAAATATAAACACAAGCTGTCTGGTAGTAAGCACAGATTAAATTTTCCAGTGAATTTGTAGGGGATTTTGTTGGTTAAAAATAATCCCACCAAACAAACATTTGGTTTCAAGCGTTAAGGAAACAAATACTGCAAAATATTGCGAACTATTTTTATTGCGTTATGTTTTAGTTTCCTTTAGATTTTACTTTTGTGCAGTCGACACAAAAACATATTTTCATAGATTGTCCCTTCTTTGAGTTGACAGTTTCAGAAAGTACCCCAAGTTTGTCACCTTACTTTAACCTTTCTCACCCAGTTAAGTATACACAGTTGCTTAGGAAAAAAAAAAAATCCACTAATGGCACTAAAGCTGCAAGAGTAAGTGATACCGTAGTTAAAGATTGAAATAGCATTTGTTATGTATTTCACTACTTCAGACAGTTTAAGGCTGCACTCCATTACTGGGCTTCCCAGAATCGTTCTTTCTGTGTACACACCCCTCCAGCAGATAAATGTGAATCAAATCAGATTATATCAAGGTTCTGTAACATGAAGAAACATCTCTTAATAACCAGGCTGTCACTGCCATGATATTTCATTTGTTGCCTTAGGCAGTTTCAGTTGCATCTTGTCTGATGAACAACTACTGCAAAAATTCACCCTCTTTTCTTCAAAAGGTAGCTGCCTGAATTAAGCAAAGAAATACAAGAAATTAGGCCCACTGTGGCCAAGCTAAAGCATGAAGTGCATCTATTCCAGTCCTCCTTCCACTCCGCTGCTTATCCAGTACTTATCCTATAAGTAGTGGCACTGATATTGCTCAGTGTATTCTGATTTTATCACCATCACTGTTAGTAACTGTTCTTCATGTTATGTGAGATCTAAAACAGTCTGTTACTTTGTAGAGGAAATAAGGTAATGATGACACATGCAAGCTGTAACATTTAATTAACTGTTTCATCAGCCATAATGATAATTCAGCGTGTCATTAACTTAATAGGCTGTAGTTAATATTTCTACTCAAACATGTCAAATAAAGAACCTCTGTATGAGGCTAATATCTTGCTGGCATTGTTTAACCCCTTATCCCAGTGAAATAGTAATTGAAAAAAACTCTTCAGGATGAAGCTTCACATTAAGAGATCATTGATCTTAAATTATTATATATTTTTATTATTTAACTTAATTTTTATTAATTAATCTAATTATATCAAAACCTAAATATTAAACTTTTTGGCACAAAGCTCACTTAAAGGTACTGTAAAACCCAGATGACAGTCCTTTTACAATTACGCATTGTGAATGACATACATCCATAGAAACTTCCTAAATGTAAATCTAGTTGGATAAATATTCCCCTCACCCCCACCAAAAAAAAAAATTAAAATACAAACCTTTGGTCTAGGAAGGCTTTTCACATTTTTAGAAAACGTACTGTTTTCCATTTCACATTTTATTGTTAGAATAAATATATTTAATATTTAAGACTATTTAAAATACAGTCAGTACTTCAAGAAAGATGCAGTGTCACAGACCAGTCCCTCTGAGACTACACAGCTAATAGCTTGTGATGGTTGTGGGAACAGCAACTGGAAACAGTGGAGCAGAAAAATTTGAATCTGTGTTTTCCTTATCAAAATACTTTCTGTGTTCCAATTTCCCTTTAAGATCAGGGACAAATTAGAAGTCAGCCATGATCCTTCTGTTCTTGCAGACAATTAGCATCTACTTTTCCCTCCAGGAGATACTGACTCCAGTGTTTCAGAAAAGGAAAAAAGCAACCTATCCAGGAGGAGGACAGTTAATTGAAGACAGAATTATAGACCCAAGTGTATTGAGAAGAGATTTTACTATAGATAACGTGACCATATTTAAGGATGTGCAATTAGAAATTTTTGTTTCCCATTCCCAAGAATTAGCAGATTTTTGTAAGTGACATATAGCAACTGAAATGAGGCTAACGAACCCTGGAGTCTCCAAAGGACTCGTTTCAAAGTTACACAGTAAACTTATTAAATGTGATATGGAAGGTGAAGGTAATTACATGCAGATATGGGAAGTACTCTAGATAAGAAGATTCCCTTAGAGCACTAGTCATGTACTGATGTGTGGCAATTACTGTTTTAGATATGTCATAGTTGCTAAGCAGCGAGTTCTCAGCACTGCTTACATGGAGTCGGTACTGCTGATGAGCTGCAGAATATGTACAACAGGGGACTTCTTTATGTTTGGTGGGGACGTCCTGTACCTGGAAATACTGATGAAGAATCCTGGAATACCAAGAAGGTCGCTGGCGTACAGCCCTACATCATGGGCTGTGTGGAGTTCGCACTTGAGCATAACTGCATTTTCAGAAAACTTTTACCTTTTCTGCTTCTGCTGGAAGTGGTGTGCTTCTAATATTTGTGTTTCTAATTCTCTGCTTGCTAATGACTTGCTGCTGAGGTCATGGCTAGCTTCTGTATTGAATTCAGGTCCAAGAAGTGGGTACAAAACCGCAGCGTTGTGAAGCTTTCTTGTTTACTCTGCTGCAACTGGATAGCGTGTTTTATTCTTCCCTCATAACTGCAAACCAAATAACAAAGTCCTCAGTATGAAATAAAGATGAGGGCTGTTTAAATCAGGCTGTTTAACTCTGTCAAAGTTAGGCATGCCCAATTAAAACACACAAAATTCTGTGTGCAATGGGTGCACTATGTTGCACATCCATTTAGCACATGCACCAATCTATGTATAATGCCTAGTAGGGATCAGACACATTCCACAGGCTAAGGTAAGGCCATCTGTAGTCCAAAGGTGAGAAGAAACCCTGCATTTGTGTAATAGTTTGAGTGCCAAACTTCAAATGTAAGGTTGCCTATTTCCTAAAAGAAGAGCATGAATTTGAGATCTGTATTTCATTGTCTGCCAGGTTTCTGAAAGGTCCCAGCATCCAACAGCCCCAGGTTGTCAACGGAAACGGTTGGGTATTTGGGATTTCCGGAGCCAGGGGATATCTATTTATGCCTAGTAAAAATATGTTCAAAATATCTATTGATAGCTCTAAAGTTTTGCAACGCTTCTAACACTGTTGGCTATTTACGGCATTTACCAGTGGTGCTGTTTGCTGTTCATCCTTGTCTGCAAGCATTTTCTGTCTTATCGCTTCTGCAATTGCCATTGGTTTAACCCCAAGAGCCTGGCCAGAGCTGCTTTATGAGTTGTTCCGTAGTGTGAGCTATAGTTTTTGAGATTACATTGAATGCAACTCAACCTTGCCTATACTTGTGACCAAACAGGCCACCCCTATTTTCAATTTGGCAATTCTTGTCGTTGCCTGTCCTCCTTGTCTTCAACTTGAGACTGATTATTTAGTAACAGCTGTCTTCAAATACCGTAAGCGTGTGTTTCCTTGTGAAAGCATTTGTCAGTGTTCCTCCACCTAGTCCAGCTTTGTCAGCTGTTTGCATTTTCTTACCATGTCTTTTTCTTACCTATGGACTTTGTATTAATCTTTGCTGAGCCCCTGACAGCCTTCACCATGTGAGACTTAACCTTAAAGATTTTTAAAATACATTTTATTGTAGGAAGAATAGATTTTTTTGCAGGCTGGCAGAGATTAGTGGATAGGGTAGTATGGAATAAGATATGATTTAATTCCCACTTTCCGATTGTTTTCTTGAGGATGTCTGTTCTTTGCGATAACCCCTTATATTTGCTGTTGTTTCATTTCCTGCCAGTATCCCACTTACAGCCTTTTTCACTTTAATTTCTGTGCCTTCCAGCAGGATGATATCACACAGGTAAACTGTTGTTTATAAACACACGCCCCCAAACATATGCACCTTTCATGTCCGTTTTGCCAGTCATTTTCAGCGTTGGTCACACAGAGTCCATTGCCATGATTTGTATTCACAGTAAAGGTTCTTGAAAGGGATGCAAATGATTCTGCTGTTAAACTGAGCTGCATCGAAACATTAGGTCTTTCCCTTCTTGAACCACAGCCTCTTGTACCCTGTGTAAAACCTTTCCCTTCTGTCACATCCCACAAAATGTATGCTGATAGTTCACTCACTGTAAACGTGCTGTGTGTTTCACTGCCTTGTTCTGAGGAGCATTAAGAGTACTGCTCCCTATATATGGCTGAATGAAACAAGCTCTAGAGCACTACAAAATGGAAGGAATGGAGCTCTGTGTTCTCTGGCGCAACCCAAAACTTGGGTTCCATGGCAGTACATGGAAATAGTCTGGGAGAAGGTAAAGAAAGTTGTAGAAGAAAATTATTTAGTTTCCAGACTGTAAATATGACCTGAATTATCAATTCTGCTAGGAAAACGAATGTAGTCCTGAGTTTGCTAGAATCAAGTAGGGTACAAAATGTGAGCTAGAGTATACAGATATTTGTCTTCATTATAATAATGTTTGATACTGTTTTTAGGTCACTAAGTTGAAGTTTGTCTTGCTTCCTTTTTTCCTAAAAGATTCTTCAGTTTATTTGGGATGATAGCAGGCTGATGATTGCTGATGGTTTTATTACTTGGGACAGAAGTTTGGTATTTAACAGTTAATATTAATGTAACGTTGCAGTTTGGGAGATGGCTGTTGAAAGATCAGGTGAATTTAGACTGAATGACTGCAAAAATGTAGTTTAATTCTGTGAGACAAGCCTATAGAAATGTCTGATAGTACTCAGAATAACAGAGAGAGTGCTTAAAAGCATCAGACGTTTTGTGTAACAAAGAGTAAATCAAGTAGATGTCATGTCTCTTATTCCTGTACCATCAGTAGGCTACAATAGCTGAAAGTCCTTGATTGGCTCTAAGATACAATGATGTAACATATTCTGCAGAGGAGGTTCTTTCTTTAGTAGTTACTTGTGAAAATATCTCTAGAGAACCGATTAGTAAGCAACTAATAGGTCATTTTCATAAACAATTGAAAGTGGTCCTACTGACCCTCTGCTGTGTTGCATTATATTACAGCTTTGATAATTGAAACAACAGAGTGTTTAGTGTGTTTAGCAGAATTAGGATGTAACTCAACCTCTTAAATACCGAAGACCAATATCGTTTATATAGTAATGTAAATTCATCATAACGGCACCAAGTTAAATTTGAAAAAGTGAAAAATACAAAACTGTGACATTAAAAATTAAGGTAATTTACTTTCCATATGTGGGATCTCCTAAACGTAAGCATTTACCCTTTTATTTTACCACGCCTTAAATCTTTATCATGGATTTAAACAAATAATAAATGTAATGAGACAACAGTACAAAGACATATATTCTCTTGTCATGGTAAAAGAAGAAACGTGCCTCCAGCACGTTTTCTTAGCTCACTAGTTTTAAAAGGCAAGAGCTAAAGACAAGTCATCTACTGATCCAAGAAAAGTGATATGACAGCAGAAGCTTGCCTGGAGAAGGAAGAATTGTTCTGTGGCTTTAAATTGCCTTTTGATCCCCTTCTATCCATGGGTTCCATGTGATCTCCAGAATGGTCCGTGTTTGATCTTGAAGTAGTTTAAGCCTTTGCTAGAAGAGCTGTTAGGTTACAGCACTTCTGATATCGAAGGTATCAGAACGGCTTCTTGATATCACTGCTGTGCCAGAAGCTGATTAGGTTCCTGTCTCAAATGGTGACAGTAGTTGTCACTACTTTTTATTATTCGGTGTAGTTATTTTCTTTTTTGGTTTTGAGATGTTTACATGGAATAAATGTTTTTCTGGCTTTCATACCAGTATTTAAAACCTTTATACCACATTTAAGTGTGTAGTGTCTGTATCACCAAACCACAAATGGCCATTAAGATTATTTTATTTTACAAGAATAATAAAGAATAATTATAAATCGCCCCCTTTTTTTGAAAGTGAAAAATAGGTGGGAAATTTGTAGTTGTCTTATTCAAAATTTAATAATGAATTTAATAATTAATATGTGGTAGCTTGTTTCTAGTTTGTTTTATTTGGGTTTTTGGGGGGGGGGGGGTTTTTTTTTTTTTTCTCTATAAGCACAAGGCATTTCAGATTGGAAACCCAAACATGCAAATAGTTAGATGCTGTTACAAGGCAGAAGTATTTCCTGAAAAGCTGTTTAAATGTCTATGTTCTGCAGCCTAAGAGTGACTGACTTTGAGGCACAGGCCTCTCTATGTCTTTAGTAAAGCCTTGTGTTATATTTTGGCAATTTGACTCAGCCTCCTCACTGATCTCAAGTATTCTTATGCTTCCAGAAGCGTCTCTTTCGTTTCAGTGTGGATATGAATGAAATTGGATATTGGTCAGGGTTGCTAGTACTGATCTTTAGTAAAAGTTTTATTAATCTGTGATGATGTTTATACCATCTGAAAGAACTTGACCCGTTCGTTTCCAGTTTCTGCCACAGAGGCCACCTTCTGCCAATCCTGACTGCATGACTCCACATGGAACTATGCTGCATCAGACCTTGGATTTTGATGAGTTCATACCACCAATACCACCTCCACCCTACTACCCACCAGAGTATACCTGTACACCGGTGATAGAGGCACAGAGGTGATTCTTCTTCCCTGTAGTTACAGTCATCACGTAGTTCTGAGCTACGGACTGTGAAGCTTTTTCAAAGAATATGAAGCCAAGGAATGTCCTTCACTTACATTAGGTGCTTCTTTTCCAGAGAGATTACATACATTTTTAGCAAACTTGTCAGGATGTACCTGAAAATATTTGTGTTACAGCAACGCTGTAATAAAGAAGTGATTGAACTTAGCTAAGACAACAATATCTGAACTTAAAGCAGAGATCACCTTATAGGTGATCCTTTCACAGTTGTTAACGTTATACACTTGAATATGAGATTTAATTTTCTGAGGAAATTCTTGCAGTTAATTTCTGTTAATGGGGAGTAGTGAAGGACATTAATGACTGCAAAGAGGGCTGGTGGAGATGGCTGACATCCAAAATTAAATACAATTTTTAAAACGATCCTGTGAACAAGGGCTTCATTTTGGTTGTTTAATAAATCTCTTCAGTATAATACTTTGTAGTATATTGGCTTTGAATTCAGAGAATGCTCTGTATCACTGTGGTGTAGGTAATGGTTTACCACGTAAATCCAATGCCATGTCTTATCATTAAGTTTGCTTGTTTGTGTTTTTAAACAGAGGTCTCCATTTGGACTTTCCTCATTCCCCATTCAGTGCTTTATATGAAGTAACAATTAACAGCCCAGGAATGCTGTATCCAGCTGAGCTGCCCCCTCCTTATGAGGCAGTGATTGGAGAGACGCCTGCCAGTCGGGTAAGGAAAGCCAAAGGGAATTCTTTACATAGTCTTTGAATTTTTATGATGCAAAACAATTTTGATAAATTTAGTGATCTAAAATAATTTAGGAGTTAATTGTACTTTGGAGGAACAACATTAGAAAATATTTATGTGTTTTAAACACATTTTTCAGACTATCCTCTTTAAAAGGGTTTAACTAACAAATTTTACTTGATATGTATTCTCCTTATGTTCTGGTGCATGTTTGGGCAAATGCTTATGTGAGTAGTAATATTTCAGCTGATATCTGTTTTAAAAAGTTACATGATACTGGACTGTCAGTAACAAAAACCTGGAAGAATGGATTAGAATTACCGAAGCACAGTGCTTTTCCGTATTTGAAAAGGATAATGATGTTTTAAAATGAGATTATGCTTCTTAATTTCTATAGGTAATAAGAAATCTTGATTAGGAAGCAGGTTTATCTTCTTAAAAACTCCTACAGTTGTAAAATAGTTTTTATTCCAACTACTGATGATAGTGGATTTGCCTCACTTAAATATACTATTTTCAGTTGGAGCTCAGTACAACAGTGTAGGTTGAATAAAGAGAAAGATAACTGTGTCTTGTAACATGTAGTGCTACTGCCTTCCGTGTGTTTGTATACGTATGTATATAGCATAGAGCTTCAGTTTTGCTCTGCGTGTGATCTGAGCTGAGATAATTACAAATTCCAATTTTAAACTCTATGTGTAGGTAGGACACGTACTTGAAAATTCCTAACAAAAACCTCTGTAAATAACCTCAGATTAACAAAGATACACATTTGCAGTCCCCAACTTATGTCAGATCTCAGATCATGTTCTGGAAAAGTACCGGGAGCATCTGGTAATAATGTAGGTTCTTATAATGGTGGGCGCTAGTCGATGTCTTGAACTCAATGCCAAATTTATGCTTTGGTACTTGTAAAACACAGCCTCCATAAGGAGGCTCCTGTCAGGCACCAAAGTGCTAGAAACTGATTCCTGCTTCAGAGTTACGTTAGCTGATAAAAAACCACACGGAGCAAAGATTTAAATGATAAAAGGGTAGGGATGTCTTCTTCCTATGGAATAGCAATGAGTAGTTCTCTATTGCTTATACTTTTGGCTGTTTTAGTTTTTAATAGCTTCTGCTGCTATATGGCAGCAAGTTACTCCTGAGAGTGCATAACCCCTTTATTCTGAACTTTGAGAAAGGATCCAGCATACTTCAGATAAATATTTACATGATACTTTTTGCATTATTTTTTACTACACAGTGTCAACTCAACTGAAACTAGAATTGTCCTGTATCTGCAGGTACAGCCAAAGCTACTTTGAGTACAGTTTTGCGCGAAGTGATTTGGGATAATGGAATCAGCTGTCACAAATGGGAAAATACTTAAAATTGCTTTTAGAAACTGTAATTTCTTGTAGGCTTCCGTAAACTCAAGGAGTCAAACATTCTAGATGTTGCTTATCAGTCATTAATAGTACACTGTGGAAATACGTGTGTTCAGGTTGCCCAATAGCACCCACATTACAGAGGGGAGTACTTTGCATTTCCCCAAAATATAACATTGAAAAGTTTGCTAGTGATGTTTTTTTACATTGGGGGAAACCACAAAACTAAAGAAACTATGTAATTGTTTACTATTATATACAAGAAAATTAGTAAGATAATTAATAAGACAAGTGTCTGAGAAAAAAAAAAGTTTTGTGATGCACAGTCCCCCACAAAAATGCAATTAAAAACCTCCAAGATACGCCTAAGTTTGCAGCCTGTATGACTGACAAAGCAGCTTCTGACAACTCTTCTAATCCTTGCCTTGTGTCATACCCTCCACCACTTGCCACAATAAACAGGTCCAACATTGCACTACCTTTGATTTATTTGGCTGTAATAAATCATATATTTGGCTATGTATGAATCAGTGTATACTGTTTGTCAGTGAAGTTATTTTCTGAACAGCAAAATTGGAGTTTCCAAGGCCGTATATTTTCTAAAATATTTTTTTATCCAAGTTCCAGCCTTTTTCCTGTACAGTAACTCAGAGGAACCTGCAAGCCCTGGAGGAGTTGCTATTTTTCAGTGATTAAAAGAAAAAAAAAATCAGCAAAAGCGATATGAATTATACATGGTTTGGGGGGAAATAGGAGGATCATATCTGTGATAAGAATTTGTATGTGGTACTAAGTAAGTTTTAGAAAAGTGTCTACTTGTACTTAAGCACAAAAGCACTTTGAGCACTCTTGTGATTGGGATTACACTTTGCATGAGCATCGACATCCAGCAGCACAATAGCACCAGCATATAATAAAAATATGATTTAATAAGACATAATTTAAAGCAGCGAAATCATGCTCTTGCAAGAAGAACATGAACTTTAATAAGCAGAGATATTGACTGCTGTTTTTTGTTCTCTGGAGTCAGCGTCAGTGCCTTGCCTGTTCATCTCTGGCCACCTGGGTTCCAGAAGGGTTTGTTCTAATGGCAAGTGAAAAGAAGTGGTGACTTTTTAATTTCGAAAATGCTGATAATTATATAGTTTCTTACGAGGAGTTAGTTTATATATGCCTGGTAGTTGCTGGTTCAGAGGGCTTGTAGGGGCAAAATAACCACAGGTGCTGAGGGTCAGAAGTGCAGTGCAGTGGCAACGCTGACTAAAGCCTGCACAGCGACTGTGTCGCCATCTACTTTTCTTGATGCCAAAAGCCCTAACGTGTGTGTGTGTGCAGTCAGTGTCCCAGTCGATCTGTGAATGGAGGAATGGAGCCAAAGTCTAAGTTAGTTTTAGGTCTACAAGAGGAACAAAATGGAGTCCCGAATTCTTACACGATGCAAATGCTCCCATCTAGTATGCGCCAAGCTACAGTACGAACTGAAATAACTAGATTTATAAATCCCTCAAAGGCAGACTTTGCAATGGAAATCATGGCAGAGCTTTAGCTACAGAAGTGCTTCTGGGAACCATTATGTAATAATGCCATAATTGTAAAACCTTTTACTGAGCATCAAGCAATAGGCTTTGTTTGTTTTTACATGGATTGAGGTCCTTAGAATTTTATTAAATTGTATTAAATTAGACTCAATATTTCATGCATTTCACATACAACAAATGTCAGAGCTAATTTAAGTGGTTGCATCTAAGTAAAAATTGCTGTTGTCATCTGTACTGATTAGGAATTCCCATTTTATGACTATGAAAAAAAGTGGTTTTCACACTGTTTTCCACGCAAAGTATTGACTAGGATATAGAAAAGACAAGAACAAACAGATCAGGGTTCTGGGTGGATTATCCTGGAGACTTTTATAAGGTTTGCTAACCTGTAGGCTGTGCAGGCTTGTT